CATGAATGTTTCTATCTCCAAAACTTCACAGAAAAAAATAACTCTTGCACGCCTTGCGTGCCTATGTTTTTTTGAAGGCTGGCAAAATAGGTTCTGTAACCCAGCCTGAGTAGTCGCATATACACATCACGTACCTGTTTACATTCACACATTTTTTGTAATTTATTTACTATTTTGACTGTAGCAAAGGACCCCAGTCAACCACACCTTTGTTTTTGTTTACATGATATGCGAGAGTTTGGCTATTATATTTTATTCGGAAAATGTCGAAATAAAGAAAATCACTAGGAAACTACTAAAGATAATGAAACATACTTTCAGGAACACAACTTATCGTAAAGCAACAAGATTTCGCCTCACCATGCAATATCAATATGGCATTGAAAATGGCGGAGGCTGACTAGGGTCCTGCAATATAACGCCTACCAGCCAAAATAGAACTTTAACTTTCTATTCCTGCCAAGCACCGATATCGACTTTGTAATATAAGCACGGTCCAGGTATATTGAACATCGTCAACCTACTTACTATGACACATGATCTTTCGTTTGACAAAAATTTTAAATTATCCTGTTTACCAATCAGAATTTGCAGAAAGAGACAAGCATCCCAACAGGTCATGTTATCCTTAACTGCTTAAATGAACTTCGTGTTACTTAGCAACGCCTGGTTTGGATATATGGGATACTTGTTTACCGAGTTCTTTTATATCGGGTCCCATGGTGTAACGGTTAGCACTCTGGACTTTGAATCCAGCGATCCGAGTTCAAATCTCGGTGGGACCTCGGCAATGTGATTTTCTCTTTTTTCCAAAATTTTCCCTTTTACTTTGTTTTAAACTCTCCTTAGCTTCGTATCGTATTTATCGTTACATTGTTTGAAAGTGGGAAAAAACCCAAAACAAAACAAAACAAATTGTCAGTTTTCTGAGGAAGAAACAACAATAAACCGAAAGGAAACTAGAATGGGGAAGACTGGGACGGAGAAAGAAGGCTGAATTTGACTCAAAATTTACTCGATAACTGAAAAGAAATAGCAAAATTTCTTTGACGTGCTTTTTACCTCGTAAGCTAAAGAATGACTTGTGCAAAAGTATAACTGTCCTGATCGGCAACAGGTTAACAGAACTCTTTTATTCTTTATTGTTTTATCATTACTAATAATTTTGTCGTACTTAGAAAAAAGCCTTGGTTTCACCAGGTGTTTAGCCGATATGAATCTGAGATAATTTTAAACGTTTTGTTGATATCCTTGGAGAGAACAACAGAATGATTTCGTCGCTTTTATTACCGCAAGAACTGTTTTTAAAACGCCTCGGACACTTATATTTCAAAATCAATATTAGGCTGTGTTTACACAATCTTTGTTAGTTTAAGTTGGAATATTCCACGCTCGCAGATTACGGTGGTATTAGTGATGTAAACGAGCGAGTTGTAAGTTCAGTCGTCACACTCTTTAGATGTTTGATCGCCAAGCTGTGACACGTTTTCTTTACTCATCAAAATCTGTAAGCCCAGAACTACAATCCTGGCCAAAAGTCCTTGGGTGCACTTGACAAAACGCCTGACGCATTATTTAGAAGTGGGAAGTCATTTTTCAATTTTCCGAGCCCCCTCGCCCCACCCCCCCCCCAACCCGTAGGCAATGTTGGAATAGTGGGGGTCCCTCTTTGGATGAATCAACATAAGCATTGTGTTAGGGGTGGGGAAGGGGAGGTGGACAACCTCTTTCCCAGGGTCTCTCATCTTACCGCCCCCTGGAGCGAGCGAAGAGAGGGCGGTAAGATGAGAGACCCTGGGAACGAGGTTGGGAGGTGGACAGAAAGACCATATGTTTGCAAAACTGCGAAGTGTCGCAAGACTTTTGACCAGGATTGTAGCTAGTTAAATTCCACACACAAACATTACTGAGCATTTTTCTTTAATTAACTTTGCTCACAAGGTACAGGTGGTAGTAGTTCTACAATGATTGAAGTTCTTTAATTCAAAACAGCTTTTTCGCGGTACATTTCTTTCTTTTTGACTCTCTCTCAAAAGTCGAGTTTACCTTACTTGTCTGCGGGCCAAAAGCTATACATTTATTACACCTTAACGTGGCTCAAAACAGTTTCCAACACTTTACAAGACAAAAATTTACGTGGCTCGAAACCCTATGTACAGAATTTTTTTTAAACTTTGTGAAAAGCTGCATCTTATCCTACTAATCAAAATTGGTAATATAAAAAATATCATCGTGCCGTTTTTGAAATATAAGTACTTAAAGCGTAAATTATAGGTGTTTTTAGCAGGTCATACTGTTGTTATAGTAACCGGTTGTGTCGCGAAAATGATTACGTCTTCAACAATGGTTAGGCAGTTTTTTGATAACATGATTGAAGCATCAACTGATAAAGAGTGGTTATAATGACCTTCAAAATCTAAGTCTTGGAAAGTGCTGGAAACTGTTTTAAGCTACCATAAATCGTATCTATAACAAATTTCTCGATTGTGATTGGTTCTCCGCGCACTTATTTGTCACGTAATTGGCGTACAATCACGTGGGTGTCCCATTACGACTTCTGGTAATTAGTCACCAGACATCTAATTAGTCATTAGTCATTAGTAATTAGTCATTAGACATCTGTGTCCTTCGTGCGTCAATTGTGTTCGCTTGAATGGCTTCCTTCTTAATGTTTTCCAAACGTTTGTAAAACTTAAGGAAAACACTACTGAGTTTTCGCCCAAAAGAAGTTCTTTAAGCCTTTTTATCTCGAAATTTGTTATTGATTCGAATATTTAGTAATTGAGCCTCGTGTCGTACAATGCAGACCCGATTACTTCCTGAATTGTACTCCACTCGGCCAAATTACTATTACTAAATATCCTTTGTGGTTTAGTAAGTGCTAAGAAGAACTAAGACCATGCTACATCCAAATGGTTTGTATTCATCTACCCTGAGTATCAGAGGCTTTTATTCCTACGCGTTTTTAGAACGGCCATTTCATCTACTTATCAACCTTGTATTGTTTTCTAGTTTGATTTGTTGGAACTTGTTAGCTCCCTTTTTACAGAAACGTCTATCTCCTAGAAGGCATATATTAAGAAACTTTTGATCTTTTTTTCCTTCTAAGACACCTCTGAGTAAAAATTCGGATTGCAGATCGCATTGAATCGGTATCTGGTTGAACTCAAGCTTAACTGCATGCTGGCTCTAAGGTTGAGATGGCCTCTAGCATCAAGTTTCTCACGGCTAGCTTAGACCGCGCTTTTCCACCGAGAAGCCTGTTCACAGGTTCATCCAAAAAAAACGTTCCCGCCACCGTTAACTGTCACACTGAGCAGTATCGTTTGCGCATGACAACATTACTGCCACTTAACGTGAGATTCGTCAAATCAGGCGACAATTTCTCTTAACTGTCTGTGGTGTTTTCTCAGTTTAGCCAAGTGAATGGTGCAGTTCCGACTCAGCTCAGTTCAAACCCAGCGCCAGACTCCACAGCGTATAATAGTTTCTCTCTCATGATCTCATCATCCAGGTATTCTGGCAATTTTAACAAGTTCATACATGTACTGGCCGACGGGAGCCTATCCTCAGGCCCCGCGCTGTGGACGCAAAATGGTGGTTGGAGTTCCTGATTGAGAAAAGAGATTTACAAGTTACCAACAGACCACCGAAATTCTACGTCAATAAAAAAAAAAACTTGCCATTATATGCCAATCTATTGAAAAACCACCAGATCAAGGTTCCGCTGACTAGTATCACGTGATTATATCCTTGGCTCAGGTTTAGAGCTCATCGAGGTCACTTGTTTTCTTTTTTAAATGGACCGCTGAGCAAGTGCTCGTTTTCGATTGGATCGCGGGCTCATGTCAGGTTAACTCGTTGTAATCAGACGGGGTTTCTCGAAAGCTGATAAACGCAAACCAAGGATTAAAAGTTAACTGAAGTATATAAGTTTCTTGTATAAAAATGTTTTTGACTGCTTATGCTTCGATTAGTTTGAGATTACGTCAGCTCAACACTGAAGGACAAACAAGAAAAACAGAAAGCCTCATCGAAAAGTTACAAAACTCAAATCAAAATTCTCCCTGATCCTGGGTTAGCTTAATCGGGCTTTGAACAACCCAGCCCAGGTCAATTAAGTGATGGGCAGTATAGTGCCCAGTTGCTAAAAACATTCTCCCATCAAAAAACACTATTAGAGAGCATTGTAGAGACCGCTTCAGTTAGGCATCCGTATTATCCGATGTCCCTGTTAAGCAGGTAAAAATCGGTATGGGCTTTCTGAACGTAGGGATCAAGTACACCATTCCCTGGGTTCAACGTCGTATAAATAATAACAGGCCATTTCCGAGGGGCCTTTTGTCTCTGTGACAAAACAAGGCTTCGTGCAAAACCATTCATTTGAAAATGCCTTCCGCCTACAGGTTCATTTTCATGCAAATCAAACTCATTTTCATATGAAAGGTTTTGCACGGAGCCTCTTTTTGAAACAGAAGCACAAGGTAACTCGGAAATGGCCTATTCAGAGATGACTAAACTATGAACGAAAGGAAAACCCTAAAGGAGATATGAGAATTATTAAACGCAAGGGAGTAACAGAGGGAATGAAGAGAACATGTGGTTAACCTACCTCTCTTAGGAACTGAGCTTACCTTAAAACCAAGAAGTGGCGGACGCGAGCAGCTCGTAACAAACTTCAACAGTTGACGTTTCTGTGTGTCGGTAAATTGACTAACTACTCGCCAGAGCGATTCAATGCAAGGATGGTCTTCAGTGAAGCCGCCTAAAAAGATAAAAAAGTTCGATTAAATTATGACTTGTCAACAGTAAAAAAATAAGTTCGACAGTTGACTCAGACGTCGAACTTATTGCTTTCGACGCAAAATCATTGAGGTAAAATATGCATTCGTTAATGAATGCATTAGATTAGCACATGTGAAGTTCCACATCTGAATCGAAGTCGAACTTGTTGTATTCGTGTGCCGCAGTCAGATAGAACGTCAAGTTCGATCTGAATACATTTGTGTCCATCGTAACTGTTTCAGACATCAAACTTTACATGTACCTAAAAGCGACATCAGGTTGGGCACAAGTAAAGTTCGACATTTGAACCGGGCCTTAAATACTATAGTTTATCTGACATCTGATCACTCATTAGATCTCTAAAAGTTCTAAGGCATAACTTATCAGCTTTTAGTAACGTACCTGAATAATTCGTGTTTCTTCTTAGATCTTCCAGATCCACTGGAATCAAAGCACCCGATATGAGAACCTAAAATATGAAGAATTTAGTCAGGCAGAAAACCTTGATTTCAGAGCTCAAGGAGTGGAATTCATAAGAAGATTCACAGCCAAAGATCGTGTTGCGATGTACAAAGGCGCACTCAAATTGAGGGTCAAAATGAGAATAGTTTATGAAAGGAGAAAACCATCCAAGAGGTAATAAACTAAAATTTAACAAGGATGGGTAACATCTAGGAAGATTGAGACAGATTAGGAACGATGAATGCACGAGCAAAACTCGTTGACGCGTCTAAAAATTAAAGGGAAAAAGCTCAATTCTCCATTCCAGAAACTTATTGGAGAGTCCAGGGTGAACACGAGCTTTTGGTACAGCTCAATCCATTATAGCAAGAAAAGCAAGCAAGAAAGACAAGTTACCTGTAACTCATTGTGATCAAACATCCTGAGCCACTCCAAGTTGATCACATCTGAGAGCCCCGCCCTGAATGCCTGGCAGTGACGGTGGATCTACAACACAATACAGTGAGTCGCTCTTAATAACAACCAAGTCGTTACGACTGTCACAGAAACAGACAAGGAGCGTTTTTACATCAAAGATGCCGAATGGGTTTGGACAAACTTAATCAAGTATTTTTAGTTCGTCTGGTATTGCATCTTAGTATAAAGACCGGCACAAGACGGATTATACTTCAAGACGTAATAGCTGCTTCAGCGCGTCTGAAACGACGAAACGAACTTGGCTGAGACCATAGTCTCCTCTACTAACTATGCTGAGACGGATAGTTCCTCAGTGCGTACACAAACGGGCATCAGACGAGTAACACAAGTCTGAAGGTTCTGTGTTTCAGTAAAAAGACAGGAGCAAGAAGGATAATTCGTCACGATGAAGCACCTATTAAACAAACCGAACCAACTATCTGCTTAGTTTCTTAATGATGGACGAATACAGCGTTTTCACTCTCGTGGCCAGCAGCCATGCAAATTCATTGGAACAAAAGAAAGTGCTTGCAAAAGGAAAGAGTTCAACTGTACAAAATTAGTTTGGGACACCAACATGGCCGTCGCTTCATTGGTTGGCTGCCGTGACGTCATGTGAAAACACTCTATAGTAGAACAATCAGCATCAATGTTTACAAGGGAGGACTTGGGAGAAGGGGGGTAGACTGGGGAGGACGTTGATGAACTTACTTGTTTGTTGAGTCTGTAATCAGCCACAAGGTGAATATAACTGATACGGTTGCTGTTGGTAACCGGGATATCTCGACCACCTGGTTTCAACTCCACAACCTATTACAAGATAAATACAATAATACGAACATAGAAGAGATGACTAGCTTCTTATCTTAAAAACATAAATGTTTTTAGGATACGTTGCCATTCATTTGACCAACAAGCCTTTTTGTCCTTCGCCACCCCTGATAAACAATACAAGGCCCCTGATACAATGTTCCCCCCGCACCTCCAATGCAACACCCTCAGTAAGAAACAATCCTAAAAGCTTCATGCTACGATAATAAGAGATGTAGAAAATCCAGCAGTCTTCTTGAGGAAATCATAACTTATTGAAAGGGGTTGTTGAATTGGGTTGTTTGGTTTGACTTACCTGGCTTTCCCCAAGATCGTTGTTTACCACTGTAAAGTTCAGCGACAGGTCTTCGACATTCCCGCTGTAATTCTTGAGAAACAACAAGTTTCTAGAAAAGATAAAATAGAAATAAGCACAGACACTTAAATAATTCTGTTCATTAACAACACTACTTCATGTATGGTTCGTTTTACTACGATTATCACTAGAAATCAGACCGCCTAATACATTATGCCACTCGGCCCCTTTCCTGGACTGCCTGTGTTAAAATCAATTGTATACTACAAACCTGGCAAAAAAGTCCGTGGGACAGTTGACAAAATGCCAACTTGCGACGCATTACTTTGAAGTGGGAAATCATTATTCAATTTTCCGAGCCCTCCTCCCCCGCAAAGCAATGTTGGAATAGTGGGTCTACTATGGATGATTCATCATCAACATTGTGTTGAGGGTTGGGAGGGGGAGGTCCACAGAGAGACCATATGTTGACAAAAGTGCAATGTCCCAAGAGTTTTGATCAGGATTGTTGCTATAGCAGCATTGACTATACCAAGCTGGGTTGCCTGAGTCTACACGTCATACCTATACATTTCTGGATCAAGAGACTCCAGGTGATGTATGTCCACATCTGTACCATGTTTACTGAGAAGTTTACAGAGAAAAAAGCTGGCAAACGGTAACTCCACTAACATGTTCTCGTATAAAGCCTGAAAAGAGAGAACAAACGAAACGTGTCATAAAAAAACTCTTCACAAGTTTAACCAGTTACAAAGCTAAGCAAACGCAAACACAAACAAAACCACTCGATGCAGTCACGAGGAATGAAGTGAGCCTAACCTTTCCTAACATTCTTCCCAGGAAATGGTAGTGTTTCAGATAATCTTTTGCTAAAATAGCCGCCTGTGTCAAAACAAAAGAAATCTAAAAGATTAAATGACAACTACAACTACTGTAGATGTAATACCCAAGGGGAACGATGACAGCTATGAATGGAAAACAGTGGAGTAAAGACATGGCATCGCATATTACCATAGTCTCCTACGCAGATGCTATTTGGGCTCGTCACGGCACAATCTTGAAAATTGCGTGACGACCCACTACAGATCGAGTCGAGACGACTACAGATCGCACATTAGTAGAGTACCTGTGGGTTTGGATACAGCAGTCTTTCATGAGTTGACTTGAAAAAACCAATGTTAGGATCAAATCCTGCTTTCAGCAACTGGCTTAAAAATTCCCTGTAAAAGAAGAGCAAACTTGATGGTTTACAGAGCGACTAGCATTAATAGATCCACTGAGCACGAAACGTGAGTAACGCGTGACCCAAGGTCAAAGCGTAAATCACCGGANTTCTTCCCAGGAAATGGTAGTGTTTCAGATAATCTTTTGCTAAAATAGCCGCCTGTGTCAAAACAAAAGACATCCAAAAGATCAAATGACAACTACAACTAACTAGATGTCATACCCAAGGGAAACGATGACAGCTATGAATGGAAAGCAGTGGAGTAAAGACAAGGCATCGCATATTACTATAGTCTCCTACGCAGATGTTATTTGGGCTCGTCACGGCACAATCTTGAAAATTGCATGACGGGCCACTACAGATCGCACATTACTAGAGTACCTGTGGGTTTGGGTAAAGCAGTCTTTCATGAGTTGACTTGAAGAAACCAATGTTAGGATCAAATCCAGCTTTCAGCAACTGGCTTAAAAATTCCCTGTAAAAGAAGAGCAAACTTGATTGTTTACAGAGCGACTAGCATTAATAGATCCACTGAGAACGAAGCGTGAGTAACGCGTGACCCAAGGTCAAAGCGTAAGTCACGCGCGACCCCATCGTAAGGCGCGCGCGAGTCACGCGCCTAAAGTGTAACGCTTACACGTACGTTACACGACAAAACGAGTTCTTCGTGAGTATCTGCAATCCTCTCATGCAGGTTTCCGAAACAAAAAGGGCCTCAGTTTTAACAACTTCGACAAGTCTTTAAAAAAGATCCATGTCAAGAAAAAAGTCCAGACTTTTCAAAGCGGAGAAGATCAGGGAGAAAAGTAACTTAGAATAATCAGGACGAAAAGAAGAACAAAAAAATACCTGAAGAATTACTGCGCGTTTAGTCCTTTTTATACACTACGGGTAGTCCCTCTTTCGGTTTATTTATGTTCACGATCGACGGACTAAGCGAAAGAGAGACGACTCGTAGTCTATCCTTTTTATATCACTGATTACTAACCTAAAAATTCCGCCGCCGTCCACACCTGCTTCTTCCAATCCTTGAGCGTTAATCATGCGCACTCGAAGTTTCTGTCTCAAGTTTGGGGCTGTGAGAAGAATAGCAATAAACCATGAGAAAGGTATCTTGTAAAATATGTCTTCGAAAATTGACCAACTGTCTTTAGAGTGGAGTTTTTCATTTGGTTTGGGCCGGGGAGGGGGTGGCTTGCACTCTGCGCATTTTCGCAATTTCTGAATTTCTGGATCTTCCCCTGTCTTAGAAACGAGACAGAGGGATTTCTCATTGCGGGCGAGGCAAGCTCACAAGCTCTTCGAAAATTCACACTATACAAATAGGTAGTCGACAGCTTACAAATAGAAGAAATGCCTTCAGTCGACAGAGCTAGAAGATGTTTTTAAGACCAATTTTTTGGTCTTACCTTTGTCCTCAGTCAGTTGATCAAACGCATCTTGATAAATGTAGTTTCTGTTTACTGTTACATCAATGGCTGGCCCCATCATGAAGTTATGCAGTTCACCTTGTGAATCCGTTCGGTTCTTAGCTATAATTCTCTGGAGCAACTAAACAACAAAGTATATTAAAATGTCAGTGAGGCTAGTCCAATCTTCATGTTACCGGTCAAGTAAACCTTCTCACGGAACTGTTTAGGACATGTACTCAGGGGAGAGGGTGTTATAAATGACTGATTGACGGCATTGGGGTGGACACAAGAAGGCCCAGGGAAGGGGAAGTACTCCACTCCCTTATATGAGTTATATTGGTATGTGCAGCCCAAAACGGTATGGTTTTTTAGCCGTTTTGGTCAGCAATGAGGTGTCGATTTTGGCCATTTTGGTCTTAAATAGGGTATGGTTTTTGCACTCTAGTCTTGAATTGGGTATGTTTTTTAGAAGCTACTTTTTCATCNGATGGTCATACTCCTGGCTGTTGTGGATGACATTCCTGGCTCCAAAACGCCTTCCACCGTACCTGAACACGAACAAAATATATTAGAATAGATCAATGCAAGCTCTGGATGAGGGGCAAAGTCTGCACCATGACTTTATTAGTAAAGCAAAATAGGAAATAACTGATAAAAATCACATGAGAAACTAAGTGTCACCTACCCTCTTCACTGAGAAATCCGTCGATTCTCATCTATAGAAAATAAAATCAAAGACATAATAAAGGACAAATCAAGCTACAACGCAAAATTGACTAGATGAGTGAAAACCACACGAAAACCAAAGAACATCATCGCTGAGGGAAATTGCAGGAAAATTTTAAAATACATGTACATGCAATCTAATGACGTAATAATAACTCTAGCAAGATCCTTATATTTGGAATTCTCTCCCAGTATCTATCGCTGGTTCAAAAGGCTTTCCAATTGTAAAGAAAGATGATTGAATTTTTCATGAAATAATACTGAACTGGCCGACCCACACATACACAGCCAATAATTAAAACAACAACAACAATTGAGGTGACCTCCCCTGTAAGCCTGGTAATATTTCGTTAGGAGGTTCCCCCGCCCTGTTCAAGTCACTGTAATTAATAAATACTTTTTTATTCGCAAATAAACGATCACGACGATGGCGTCGATGATGATAATGATAATGAAGATGACCAACTCGAAGCAAATAACGCAATCGGCACCAAGCACAAAAAAACACACCAAACACCCAAATTGTCGGTTTTGCGAAAGCAGCATATTTTCCAAGACAAGATCCAAATAGAATAGTACTGTCGAGACAGAGTATTGGTAATCCAAAGCAGATTAGCACTGAATCATAATTTAACAGCAGCTGTTTACCTGAGCAGGATCTATGATGACTTTATGTGAAAGCCAGTGTCCTTCAGGACAGAACTGTCTCCTTGAGTCTCGTGAATGGAGTTGACGAACAAGACTGGTTACGTCCTATTGTAAGAAAGTAACAAAGCCAAAGAATGGCTTAAATTTTTTGTGTTTCTTTAAGGGAATAAACGGACCACAACGGCAGCACATGTAGATATTTATGATGCGCATTTTAACCCAGCAGAAATAGTGCTAAATTTACTCAAAAAGGTACAGTGCCGCTTCAAAGTAAGCTGCCATCTCTTGTCTAGTTTATCACGAAACGCGTCTCGTTTATCTCGAGACACGTGTGGTTACTCTCGTCTCTCTCGAGACGCGTCTCGTTTCTCTCGAGATAGATTACGTTTCTCTCGTGACACGCCTCGTTTCTCTCGAGATAAATCACGTTTCTCTTGAGACACCCATCATCTTTCTCGAAACGCGTCACGTTTCTCTCGAAATGGGTCTCCTTTCTCTCGAGAATAACACTTGACCGTCAATTAAAGGAAGGCCATACCGGGTATTACTCCACTCTGATCTACAGTCTAACCACGAACCTTTAAAAGTTTGATCCATTTTTCTTTGGGATGAAAATCGTCCTTTTTCAAAAGGGCAGATTTAGCTCCAACGCTCTTCATAGCCGCAAGATATTGCCCAGTAAAGGTCGGACTAGCCTCCGGGTAAACTATCTCGATTATTCCTATCACCACATTACAGAGGATTGAAGACATCTGCTCGATTTCTTTGAGAGAGAATGGCATAAATGAACTCTGCTGACCTGCAAAAGAAGGTGAATTTTTGAGCTAAAGTAACGGCATTTTGAGTTATTTTGGCCACGTAAAAAATGAACTTTAACTCGGAGGAAAAAGACAGTAGTTTAGTAAGATAGAAAAACACCAAAGAGATAATAATAAACCATAAAGGAGCAAGGATGGTTAAGGATGGAGAAGATTAACACGGATTGTAAACGAGGAACTTAAAAATTTAGGCTAAGGATTTTAAGATGCGCAAGCCGTGACGTAGCTCCTTTCATGAGGAAGTGACAGACGTACTGGGAGAATGAGAAAATTGCTAAAAAAGAGCATAACTAAAAAAACTAGGCAATGTAAAGTGTTGAAGAGTATTTAGATGTAGATCCAATCAATGGGAAAAACCCACTCCTTTTGGTCATTCATTTGTGTGATTGATGACTGACTGATTGACAGACTGTCTAATTGAGTAACTGACTGACAGATCGACTGACTGCGTTTCTGACGGATTGATTGACAGACGGTCTGTCTGTCTGTCTGTCTGTTTATATTTATATTTAGAGAGGAAGCCACATCAGGCTTGGCTGGTTTTCATGCAGGTCCTCTATCCTGGTCGAACTGGAATTTGGAGATGGTGGTTTTTGTGGAGGGAGGAAAACCGGAGAACCCGGAGAAAAACCTTCGGAGTAGGCGAGAACCAACAACAAACTCAACCCACATACAGTGGCAACAGACTGGAATCGAACCTGGGCCACATTGGTGGGAGGCGAGCCACTGCGCATTCCCTGCTCCCCTATCTGTGCCTGTCTTACTGATTGATTGAATAAATGATTAACTAAGGTCAAAACTACAACATCCTCACTGCTAAAAAGGGCAACTTTTCCTAAGAAACATCACCCTCGTTTTGTGTTACCTTCAACTCCATAAAACTCATTGTCATGAACAGAAAACAATGTGTTGCTCAGCAGAGACGAGAACAAAGACAGCAAAGGAGTTATAACACTGGCTTCTTGTGTTGAAAGATTTGTTCCACGGGATATAAGATCTAACAAGGGTATTTCTTTCCTGCAAGAGAAACAAGCAAAACTCAATAAAGTTATATTGAAAGTGTTTGAGTAATGTGCAGGGGGTACAAGTGGTCTCATGGTTAGTGCATTGTACTATGAATCAAGCAGTCCAGGTTCTAGCCTGCTACAGAGACACTCTTTGGGCTCGTTAGGTGATCTTTCCCTGCGACATGGGGAAGGAAGTTTGCACGAGTGATGACAAACCCAAAGAGCGTCCATGTTGGAACCTAATTAGGTTTGGGCCCTGATCAGGTGTATAAATGGGTACCAGAGAGTTTAAACCTTGGGGGGGGGGGGGTTTGACCCTACAAATTTACCTCAAGTTACTGACCCCAAGATACATGTAAGTACAGCAATATGGGACACTTGGCTTGGCAAAATACTTGTTCCATTTTGTTTTAAAACCAATCACAGCTTACATGCTGTATTTTTTTCTCAATATACCACAGTTAAGCCAAAATCAATTGTGCCTTGATTTACCATGATCATTTTCCCCACAGTTGGCACAAGTTGCATGATTTTACTTCCAGTTTTGATTGGATCATTGTCCCTATACTATGGCAGAAAAATTTACACTGTTCAATAGTAAGAATACATGTACGTGATTGTACAAATATTTGTATCTCACCCAGTACTGGTAAACACTGTGGCTGACTGTATATTGCTCCAAAGTTCTCTGACAAACACTGGACTTAATGCCAAAGTGTAAAGAAGCCTAAAAAGAGAAAATATGCATTAAAAGAAAGAAAAATATACAATGTACACTAAGGAATTTCTACAGAACTATATAATTACTGTATTATTGCTTGGACATACATGTACTACCTGCAGCTACTGTCTAAGGCACGATTCTATGGAGAAGCATCACAAGAAACCATCACAAAAATATACTGAATTTAATGAGAAATGACTTGTTTATAAAGAAGATTGACTATGACCATTTTACAGAACAATTTATCTGGTAAGATAGGTCCACAATGGGTCCAGAGAGAAACGTTTATTCAGTATCATAGGTCAGCCATTTGTATTTTTAGTAACATAGGTCCACAGTGATTGCTGAGAGATAATAATTTGTAATGCTCAATTCACTGCTTGTCATGCACATTCTGACTTTACAAATCACACACCTTGTCTTGTGTATGGGCAATCTACTCTCGGACATCAGAAAATGACAAATATTACAAAGTGCTGTGATAATTTCTTTTTCATGTGCCACTTTTTTGTCCCTGGCAAATAACACAGAACATAGGTTTGTTGGTAAACGTATTTACATGCATTTAAATATTATTAACAGGTATAACTTCTAATTTATCATCTGTAAATAGGTAAAGCTTTCCAAAGAATCCAGTATTTTTTGAAAATGTTATTTACATGTAATTCAGTAATCATGTAGCCTGAGAATGCAGATGGACTTCTGCTAGCTTACCTTGTTACAAGAGACTCCAGAGTCTTGACATGTTCTTTAGAGTCTAAGATATCCAAACACTTTTCCCTCAAATTTTCCAGAGAAGACTGCCAACAAAGAAAAGCAAAATTAATTTGAAACAGTTCATTGGTGAACTGCCCCGACAGCAATAAAGCTTGATTCTTAATAGTTAAGATGTCATGACAAGACCAACAATACTGTTATTTCAATATTGGCTACATGTACAGTATTGCCTGCCTTGGATTAAAATCCAAGTGCAAGGGTTTAAGTGTAGTTGAAAGATAAACAAACATTGCCAGAAGAATGTTTCTACAAGACTAGTGTTAATGACTACAGACCTGCTGGGGATCTATTTCCATTTCTGAATCACTGTCATCATCATCAGAATCTAAAGTAACTGATACATAATAAAGTGAAAATAACTAAATACACAAATGATAAACAAACCTGGGCAACAAACTGCACACAACTAGGCAAACTTAAACCATTTTTTGTTAAGATTAAGAACATTTACCTGAGTGAATATTTATTTGCATATTATACAGTAGCTTGCTCTGTATTTCAAATAATTTTAAAGGAGCTCAGTCACGGTTTGCACATTTTGAAAAGTTTAGCCTAAATTTTTCAAATTCATCATTTGCAATCTGTGTCAATCTGCGCCATCCTTGACCATCCTTGTTGCTTTATGGTTTATTATTATCTCTTTGATGTTTTTCTATCTTAGTAAACTATTTTCAGGTTTCCTTCCATTTAAAGGAGATTTTGTATGTGGCAAAAAAAAAAAGATAAAACACCGTGACTGAGCTCCATTAAACATGTACATGATTTATAGTCTGGCTGTTATTCAGTTATTATCTTGGCTAGAGCGGTCTTCATTTGAGTGTCGAAAAGTAATTGGATTTGCATCAACTACGCTACAAGATTGGCTTTAAAAAACTCATGCCACTTTTTCATCCAATCTGAAGTAAAACCAAACCAACCATAGCTCCCTCGCACACATTTTCCCCCACTTTGTATCAGCTACATCTAATTACTTCCAGTTTTGATAGGTTCACTGGATTGTCAGCATCCTTTGTGATTGCCTAGTAGGAGTGTTAACTTTGGATTTTGGTTTTACAGCACTCAATTAAAAACCACTCTAAATAGACCATTGTTCAGTCATTAACTGTACTAAAAAGTTTGTTGACAAGCAAATAGTTATGGCCAGTAGAAATTTCCCATGCACTTGAGCAGTTAAACACCCAACAAAAGAAATCAAAAGGAAATACAGTCTGAACGAGGATCAAGTGCTTGCCTGTAATAATTGTTTACCTGGGTGAGGCAGCTGTACTAGCAGGATTTGTAATACTTGAATGTAACATTTAACTACAGAAAGATCTGATGATGAGCCTGAAGAGAAAACCAAGATTTATGAGAACAGTTGAGGTCTATATAAAGTCATTACACAGTTAATACAGGTACAGTAGCAGTCTCAAACTCAGTGTTTCTGGGTACTTTAAGTACATGAGAGCAAATTGAACTACATGAAAGTAGCGGCACTGGTCATTGTAGACCAAAATTGTGCAAGCTTATGCATCCAGTTGCAGATCCACGTGCCTCTTTGTAGTGGGGCCCAAAATTATCCACTACAGTGATTCTGGCCTTAATTAAGGTAGGGACCTGAAATGTTTTCAGCCCTTCTAGCCTTAACTTTTTAAATTGCCAATATTGAGGCGTGGCTTACACCCCTCACTTGGATCTGCCACTGGCATCCACAAGGCTGTCCGGTCAAGCAACAAGTTTAAATAAAGTTGCGTGAATTTACTTATTAAGATACTCGAGAAAGTGCCCAGTCTTGGGAGACTCAAGTTGCGCCTCCAGAATGTCCACTCCCAATTGGTATCACTACAACTATGTACAGTAAGTGACTATTCTATGCTAGCTAGGAGAGGAACATCAATTTTGATTTTTCAAACCTGGGATCTCCAGTTTTCAAGTCTCTTAACTTCACAGTTAAACTGTTTCACCACAAAAATTGCTGTACACTCTTGCAATACTCCACTGCACTTTATACACACCAAGTACCATAATCATAATAATAATTATTATAGGTACATGTAACATAATTATAACATCTACATGTACTGTGAGTATATGTAAGTTGATAAACTAATACATTGTAAGGATATCAACAACTTTTTTTTAAAGAAAAAAAAAAACAATAACACTTGGATGAAGTTATTGATATCTTTAAGACTTATAAAGTAACAATTTAATATTGATTGAAATACCATACCTAAGTGTTGGTCAACAAATGCCAGTACTCCATACAGTAACCAGGGGGTGGGGGTCACTCCCTTGTTACTCCCCCCTGAATCATCTGGTTTTGATAATAACATCAGGAGGGCCTCTAACAAGTGGACAAAAGGGAACTTTGCAGATCTGTCAGCTATTGACGGTAAAAGGAAGCAAGTGATCTGTTCTGTCATCTCTGGACAAAGGATGTCAGAGATGAGAGCTGAAAGCACCTCATGTCTGAAAAAAAATTTTAAAAAAAATTTTAAAAAATGACAGTTAACTTGCAGTTGTTTTGACCAAAATTATAACAACATCTGATTCATTTCCATGTTGATTGCACAAACAATAAATGCCATGATGGATTTTGGTTTATAAGGCTACTATTCATTTATCAAAATATATCAATTAATGTACCCCATCCCTGATATACTGTACATAATTATGTACAATATTATAGAAATAGTTATATTGCTGCACATGTCAGTGGCAGATCCAGACCTTGAGGCTAAGGGAGGCTTTTCTTCCTTCTAAGATATTTTGTTTTACCCAAAATAAGGGAGGGGGGTGGGGGAGGGGGGTCAGGGCGGGCCCTCCTGTAGATCCCCTACTACATGTACCCTCTTGCCTCAAGTAAAGTGTCTTTCAACAAGTCACCTGACCTCTAAGTCAAAAATCTCTTTAAATTTTACTTCACATTTAAATTTATTCTTTAATTCATTATCTAAGCTTCAAAAGGTGCAAACTACAAAGATTTAATCATTGGTTGTTTCCAGCATGTTAGAAATCAAAATTAAGCTCATTAAGCCAATTTAAAAAACCACCAACACGTGCACAAAAATCTTGAAAGAACTTACTGAACAATATACCTATTATTTGCAGTAAACACTGCTTCTTCTTCACTATTGGGCTGACAGCTAAAGTGAAGTGGACTCATTATCAAATCTTTGATTGCCGCAGCCATTGGAGTAGGAGGCGCAACGGAAGGTTCCAGACTGGATGGAACTCTGGCCATGAGCAAAGAACGCAGATATCTGAAATATCCTACCAACAAAATAATATTCCAATTACTACAGAACTGCATGCTAAACAGGAAATAAAAACCAATTAAATAGGTTCACCTTACATGTACATTGACTACCATGCATCTGTTGAGTTAGTGTACAATCGCCATGTAAGTAGAAACACATACATTGTAAGCATGCACATGGAAATGTCTGCTTAGTGGCTGAACTAAAATAACTAAAATAAACTAATTAAAAATAATTTCACGGGGTTACAATGTAACTGTTTAAAGCAAAATTTAAGCAGATTGCTAGACACAAAGGGAATAATAAACAGTCTAGCCAGTATGAACCTCATCTGATCTGCATCAACAAAAAATCAAGTTTCTCAGCACTTGAACCATGACTGTGTGAAGTATGCTTGCATTAAGTAATAGAGTAGAAAATTTCCATGTTTACATAGCCTCATCTAAACACGAGAAGGGTTCCAAGAATTCGAGACAGTTACATGTATGCAAACCCAAGATGCACTCTAAGGTTTGCATAATTTCTCCTATTTCGAGGCTATGTAGACACAGACAAAGTACTTACACATTGCTTTTATAAAATATTTCTCAAAAATAAGCACAAATCTAAAATATCACAACCATGTTTACCTCTCATCTAAACAAACCTAACAACCAATGAGACTGCACATACATGTAGTTGTAATATGTCAGTTATTTTAAAATAACTATACTGTATATCACTTTTTAATTACCATTTCTGACAAGGTAAATTGTCACCATTGCTGCATCTTTTCTATTACCAGCAGGATCAGCCGGGTTGTGATATGAATCATGGGAAGTAAACACCTCTAGCATCCGCAATTGAATGGCAACAGGTTTAGAATCTTTCAGTGATGCTTCCAGTGACCTGTGGAGTGCATGTTAACAAACTGAAGGTCATATGACATCTTTTCAAAGGAGGAGGGGTGAGAGGGGGTAGCAGGAGGTAGCAGGTATCTTAACAAACCAAGCAAGATACAATGTAGCAAATGTCAATCTCAAGTCTGCTACGTTTTTCTCCCAGCGGGGCCTCCCATATAAAAAGGAAGGAGGAAATTTTGAAAAGAACCCCTAAGAGGTACCAAGATCCTGTTTTGTGGGCGTGGCTTGAAATGTTTTCCTCCCTTAGACGTACCAATTCTCAAACAACACATTCAATGACATTGCCTTTTTTTGGCTGAATACCCTAAAAGGTACCACTTATTCCCCCCTGGAATTTTTCTCTCTCTCCATCTTCTCTTTAAGATAAAATAGTCCAAAATGTGAAATTTTCACTTCATCCCTCCAACAAAGCAAGGAGGTAACTAACATTTTGGACTTCTCGTTAACATAAAATTACATAAATTATGCTGGAGGCAGAGAGAGGCAAGCAACATACCTGCTACATATCAAGAGAAGGTGTTTGATCTGATGAAGCCAGCTGTGACGATCATCTGTTTGTAACTGATTCACAATACTGCTACGATTCTTTAGTAGATACTGACACATCCATATCTATAAAAAAGAAACTTACAGCTGTAAGGAACTTTCCCCTTGGAAATAAATTATTACAACCATTTATACTTTCACTTACTGATCTTCAAGTGTTACATGGATCACAGTGATCTTTCACTGCAAATGCTGTAAAATATACCCTCATTTGGAAACTGTACAGTAAAAAGGTAAGGTTAAGTCTACATTTGAGACAAGTGGCCCATCAGGCCACATTTTATCCACAGCCTGGTTTCTGTAGCGTGAAGCAACTAGGAATATCAATACTCCTTCCTGAATGCGATGCTAGTCCATTGCAGGGTTACCCCCAGCATTAAATTTGCCAGTACCCATTTGTACACCCGGGTGGAGAGAGGCACTGTGAGAGGAAAGTGTCTTGCCTAAGAACACAACGCAATGTCCCTGCTCAGGGCTCAAACCCAGACCGCTCGATCCAGAGTTCAGTGCCCTAACCATGAGACCGCCACACCTCCACAACACACTGGACACCGTACTGTCAGTACCAAATGTAAAATGATTAATTTTTTTTTCTTACCAATCTCTGAGCATCTTTGGAGTTGGAATAAAAGAAAAGAAGCTTTCTTAAAAGAATTCTAACAGCAGACACTGTTGGAATATCTTTTGACCCTTGTATTGAGCTAACAGCTTCATCAAAGTCCATCCTCTGGAGCTCATACTGAAACAAAAGCAAAGAAAACAAAAATTTATATATCATCATGTTGTCATTTTGCGTTCAACCGGTTCACAATTTACTTTAAATAAAAGTACATGAGTACAAACTTGAGAGTTTATTAACCATACCTGCTGATGTCTTGTCCACTCTCCACGGAGGAATGCCTGAATTTTAAGGGCACTTGCACTTTTTCGCCGTAACTCCTAGGGTTAAAGAAACAAAAGAAAATGGAGTACATGGTATATATTTAGTATGGAGATTTGGCTAAGCCTCAAAAGCGGAGCTCCTGGTTATAATAAGTTAACCTCGCTTGAGCCGGCAATCCAATCAAAAACCAGTACCTAGACAGCAGTTAACTTCAAAAAAACATGTGACCTCAATGAGCTCAAAATCTGAGCCCATGATATGGTTGTGTGATACTGGTCAGTGGATACCTTGTTTTGACAGCTGTCAGATTGACCATAGCATGGATGTTGTTTGTTGTAAACCAAGGCTGCATGCCCCAGTTGACCTATTAGCTGGAGTATAGCCGCCATTTTGTGCAATGTCATCATCATCATTGCATATACGTGCACACCAGCAATACTGCTAGCCATGATGACCATGAGAAAAGCAATTCATGGACTCCTATGAGTATGGTGCTCCACTTGGTGGTCTTTTGGCCCACTGGAGCTCCACTATTACATGTATACACTGTACAATGTAACTAGAATCTATTCTATTTTCATCCCTACATGCAAATATACTATACACCTGTAAGGGATTTGATTAGGCTTATCAATTCCATTGCCTTAAGACTAATAATAGAAATGGCTTTGCAAGTGGATATCTGATTAAGCTCTGTAGGTACTCTTAATCAGTTTCATATTTGTATCTTCATCACCTGGGTAGTAAAACAACACTACGAAACTTTACCTCTCTTTTCTGCCGCTCTGCTTGAGTCCTTTGAATCAAGGATTTCCTTTCTTCCTATATGATGAGAGAAATGTTCGATGATTACATTACATGTAATGCTTAACTGCTAAAAAGTTATGCGACATATGTCAATTTAAAACTGTCAAATTACTACCAAAAAGATCAAAGAACATGTTATCTAAAACTGCTTTGAGCAATTGAAATCTTCAGATAAAATATAGGAAACAATTAATAATTGTGCTATCCAGCATTCATTTAAAAGCAGGACAAGTACATGTATATCACTTTGACAATGAAATGATAACTTGCATGAGAGATTCTGGTTCCCATGCCATAAATGTGTGACAAAAATTAATTATACTCTTCAGACTGAGCTGGCTGGAATGTACATGTGTGACACATATTTGTAAATACAAATTAATTTATTGAAGATTGATTACATAATACAAAATAATACATGGCTCCTAAAGTTAACAGCAAAATTTTACGCAAGTTGAATATGACAGAAGTGTTTGGTGAAACAGGGTAGACAACTGGAAATTTTGCTGGCTCACGCTCATGAAGCCAGTCAAAAAGCGTTTTGCTCCATAATCTAATTAAGCACTTTTCCAGCATACAGATATTCATTGTACTATGCAGAACGCATATAATCGTTACACAAGGGAGGTAGTGAAATCACGAGGTTTTATTTTAATTACCCTTCTTTCGTATACATACAGCAATTGACAGATCTACAGTTCATGAATACTGTTTTAGCTAGATAAGAACGATACACCGTCTCTCATGTATGAGCTCACAACTACAAAAGTCGGCAACAAAGATACCTTTTTACTTGCACCTCCCAGTGAGACAACCCTTCGGCTTTTGTATTGTCCATCAAATGAAAACATCGTTGACGGAAGTAAAGAATTCAGTCCAAATCGAAAACTGCTAAAACTCGATGAAATCGAAAATAAAATGTTGTCATCCTTACAGCTGTGTAACCGCGCATCTGACTTTGCAAATGGTAGCCAGGCCTAGCCAGGCCTGAACAACCATGGAGCCAGGCCTTGTCTCTATTCCAACATGGCGGAAAGGTTGAGTTTGCAGCTTGCCTTTGCTCTAATTGCGTTAATAGCTGCTGTCTTCTATAGCGGGAAAGCACAGTTTGTTTTTAACAAGATCAATCAGATTATCCATGGAAAAAGAGGCTGCTCTCCGATCGTTAGCATAGGTCACGTTACACTTCATTATTTTGGATTCAGAGGACGGGCCGAAGGCATACGACTGATGATGGAAGACTTTGAAATTCCATACGCAGAAACAAACTTTTCGAAAGCCGAATGGCCTGCTGTTAAGGAAAAAGGAATAGAGACAGGACTGTTCACGTTTGGCCAAGGTGAGTGGAAACAGATGATGTTGATTCATTGATTTAAAACTACTTTTCATTCTGATCCACTTGCAAAATAAAGTTGCAAGATTACTTGAGGAAAAGCCAAACGGGATTCCGAGTAACTTGGGATTTTTTGACGAAGTCTGCTTAATATATTTTTCACTTATTTTTCATTTGTGTATTCAATTTGTTTTACGATATCTTTGTCTGCTTTGTACGTTGTATTTTGGTCGAGTTTCTATTTCTGTATGGTAAATTCCTTGGGTTTAGCTTCATTATAGAAAATGAAAACCAATCCGTTTTTGCCATGACATCGAACAGATGTAGATATGTCATAAAATATTTATAACTTTAGACATCCTGTAAGTTAAGATACTCATTTGAAAGTGGCTGAGAATTGTTTGTAAATCTTTTCAGACTCAGTTTACAAAACGCTTACATCCAAATACAATTTAGGTATTTTTGGAATGACCCAGATTAACAAGAAAGTGAGTTAAATAATCAGTTTAATACTAAACTATACCAAGCATCCTCTTATTTGCATTGTGAAATCTGCATACATAATTGGCCAAATAGTCAGTCAGTGAAAAGTACTGACAAAGAAACAAAAAATTACAACCTTGCATAAAATAATTTTATCAGACGATGGCTTAAATAATAAAAGCTATCTGACAGAAAACATAGTAAAATTAATTATCTCACTCTCTTTATCTCAGTTCCTGCCATTAGTACAACAACTGGATTACAGCTAGTACAGAGTAAAGGTTAGTTCATTCAGTGCGATGACTCTTTGTTATTGAAGTTTTAAAAGAATTATTCCTACGTGTATAATGTTTATAAACTCTGCAGTGATGAATAATTATTTGGCTTGCTTAGAGTTCAAACCCTACATGTACATGTATCTTAGACATCCAGTTGTCCCAGGCTTTTGATGTGTAAGTGATTAACATCTTAACAAGCTTTCCTTTGTGTCTATCACAGCTTACATGTACATCCTCGTTGTTAAGTCCAAAGTTATGATGATAATAGAATCTTAATTTTATGAAATAAAGATATTGTGTTTGATCTGTTGCAGTAATTATGCATCATATTGGTCGCTCAGTGGGTCTAGATTGTGATTGTTCTGATATTCATATCTGTGAAACATTGGTTTTTGGTGCAGGTAATAAACAGCTAACTTTTGCTGAAAGTCATAAACCTTTAACTGGATACATGACTAATAGGGCTAATTTCATTAAGGTTGAAAATCTTGGAATGCTTCTTTTTGGTATTATCCCAGCCAGTAAATGGACAATTTTGCTCACAGCTATATATTGTACTGAAGCACTATTATGCTTGTGGTATTCCCAGGAAAATCCCAAGAAAAAGCCCTGGTTGTGCCTTTTTCCCTTCTTTCTTCCCGGGCACTGTCACCGTTTTGAGTCACCTGTATCGTTGTTCCCTGCACACCTGTAGCAAACTTGTTACAGTTTGTACTTTGTGGGTGAAGTGTATCAATAACAGGCAGTTTCACCTGTAGCATCAAGGGAAAATCAAGCGTACTCACCCAGAACAGGTGTGATGGGTTACAGCCCTTAATTACAGTCCTGTTCCCTTCTCATGGAAAGAACTCTGAACTAAAAGAGTTCAAATTTACACACACAATGTTTGTCAAAATTCCTATACTTTGGCAACTAGAATGTAAGATACCGATTGCTAGGCTCCTGCCTTACTAATCTGTGACTATGATATCTTACAAAATTGACTCAGCAGTCTTTTCTGCACAATGAAGTTACCAGTAAATGTTACAATAAGGTAAAGATACATGTATATATGCTATTTCCCAGCAGGGAGGTCCGTATATAGTGAGAACTGTGACCAAGGTCTTGAAAATGCTGCCTGAGGCTGCTGACCGTAAGAGCACCATTTCCAAGTCCAAAGTCACAGTTTTTGTATATGTACATGTACCAATACTACATGTAAGCCGGTAAATAACTAATTTTTTCCTCTCTTTCTCGAATCACTTTTATAATTGATGACCTTTTCTACACACACATCATGCACTCATTACCGTGACCATGGGCGGAGATAGGAAATTCTGAACCGCACTAAGAACTAATCAGATTGCACAATTGGTTACCATGCCCTCTTGGAAAAAATAAGTTAGGCTTTTTGTGACAGCTGAACCATACTGTTGTGTGCTTACAATGTAGATTTATGCACATCATAAGCATGGAAGTGGTAATAACTTGGATGTGGATGATTGCTTCATTCCTTGTATTTCAGAGGACCTAAGAGCAAAGCTTAGCCCAGTTCTCTACAGTCCAAACTTCTCATCAAAGCTAAGGAACGACCACATCGAATCAGTTGTGTACACATGGCTTTCCTTTTTTGAAAAGCTTGCCCCTGTCGAAGACAACAGCACAAATGTCAATGGCTTATTCTTTGCCAGTGAGCGTCTCACCTGGGTTGACTACGTCATGTTTGATCTCTTAGACACTCATGTTGAGTTTAGCAGACTAAGCTTTGGTGATGATGCCCCGACAGTAGATGTGTTGGCAAATTACCCAAAGCTGAAAGCATTTTACGAGACCTTTTCCAGCAGACCCAAGATTGCTAGATATCTTAAAGCAGAGAGAAGAGTCCCTTTTCGGCTCGGTTAATTGGATTGTCATCAGGCTTTTGGCCAGATGGGTGTCTAATCATCCAGCGGAGACATCCACTTTTTAAAGAAAATAGAGGATATTACATGGTCACGTAGAGATGCAAAATTTCTCTTTGAGTGTTGAAAAATAATTCACTCGTTCACTGCGCTCACTTGAGAAATATTTTTCAGTACTCGTAGAGAAATTTCATATCTCCAAGCAGCCATGTAATGTTCTATTTATTATATAAACACCAGCGAAATACCAACTATTGTAATGGTGATCTTTTAATTTGTGAAGATACATGTAGCATGTTACTTTCACTTGTGAAGATATCTCCTAGTAAGCTCACCTGGTATTTCATTGGTGTTAATATAATAAATTGTTCTATTTTTCACATGTTGCTTCATAAATAATTTTTCTTTTGAGCAGACCCTAATGCACAGTTTTCAAAATTATCCTGGCTAAAAGTCTGGTTGTCATGCAGCCCTCCTTCTTTGAGAAAACTATTCCATGACAACTCCAGTAACACATAAATTAACATTTTTCCAGCACGCTTCCACAATTATTTATTGAAATGAAATAAAGTAAATCATTGAATTATAGGTGCACATACTGTACAAGTCTTGTAACAAGGCATTTTTATAGAGGATGGGTTTAGTGCAAAATACATACAACTGAAATATATACATGTATGCAATGCAAGGTTTTGACATAAACAAAAAGATGTGTAAAGTGTTGATAAAGTAATGCAGTAACAGTAGATTTCTATTGTCTGTCTCAAATAGTGTGCTTCTTCTGCCCAACATCTGGTGACCATGTCGTTACATGTAGAATGACGTGTTAGGAATTATCAAACTTAACGCACTTTCAAGGATATAGTTATAGAAAGCCAGTAGTAGATATTTGCATGTAGTGGCTTTTGAATTTCCAGTTTACTGTTGATGACAGTAACATAGCCTGAAATGTGACAAATGCAAGTCAACTCCTTCCTTATATATTAGGTTGTGGGTGGGAGAGGACTGACAGAATTTTCATGCGAACAGTAACACATTGCTCTTTCTGTGCAATAATTAAAGTTTAATTTATCGAAAACAAAAATATCTTTCAGTATTCCTCGTGCTGACTTCTCCACCATTCCTTGCATAGTCTGGGTTGTGGGGGGTGGGGTGAGGGGGTGGGTGGCTGGGTGGAGAGTTGAGGTATTTAGCAGAATGACATCATTTCATGATAAGATATGATTTGCACTTTATTTTGAAATGTAGCCAATTTAAATATCGATTCACAGCTCACAAAACCATCATATTCTATACTTTTCAGAGACGTGAAGACAACACATGGTAACACGGTGCAAGTAAATCTTCTCTATTTCGGTATTGCCAAGCGTGAGTATCTCTTGAGGAGAGAGCTCTGGGAGCGAGGTTAGAGAGCAAGGAATCATTTTCTAATTCTTTTGTTCTCTAAGTTCGTACTTCAATATGACATTTGTTTGAGAGAGGATTAAGGCTCGCGTACCAATTTTGAAGGTGTGCTAGTTCTATATTGCTTTCTATCAGAAGTCGTTCACCTCTGCAAACCAGCACCGCGCGTGCGTAAATTCGAACCACTGCGCACGGATTGCGCGCGGAATTTTTTTGCGCGCGTGCTTGCATGACGACAAGTAGAACGATTCTCATTGGCTGATTATTGCTCGCGCGTTTTTAATCTTTTGTTGATGTCACAAAAGAAAAATGTTAATCTCAAACGGAAATTTCTCGCTTCAGAACTACGCTTCCGGAGAGCGAAAATTTTGCAAAGCTACCCATGCAAGATGTGATCTCCGCGACTTCCTGGTCCCAAACCAAGGAGGTGAGAGAACGAAAGTTGTGTTTGCGCAAGAAACGCGCAAAAAATAGACTCCGACCTGCTACAGAAACGAGAAGATTTGGAAGTTCATCAGGAAAAATCGGGAAGCTGATCCTCACAGTGTAGAGAGAAGACGAGAAAAGAAATCAAATAGAAAGGTGCACAATCAAATATTTTTGCCGTGTTAAGGTTTGGAAATCAAATCTTTTCAAGGGCTACAACAACAGAGTAACAAAGATTGGCCAACTTTTGACAAAGTTTGACAAGCCTTGAAAAGTCGAAGAATGTGGCGACAACGGCGCACAAGAGATAAGCCGAAAACTCAAGTCTAACCAAAGCCATGAGCTTATGCACGATAAGACAGTTCTGTTTCAATTCAGTTGCTGGTAGGAAGAGTTATGAGTGGTCGTGGGCAATTCAGTGCAACTTACGTATATGAGGTGGTGCGAGCTTAGAACTCAAAAGATGGAGATGAAATCTTACAAAACACCGCAGTCAACAACATGGACGTTGTTCTTTGTTCCATTTAGAAGAATCCATTTGTGACAACGGAAAAACTGATAGTCAACAACACGAAGATGATAAGATAGGTCTTCCTGGAGAAAGATATTTTGCTGTCATGTTCTGGAGTATCGCAAGTAGCAGAGAGCACTGAACAGCTGAACAGAAATTTCCGCAAGGATTGGTTTGGCTGTAAGGCCATCCAGGAGATTCTAATAAAGAAAATCTCCTACCGAAGACCAAGATGCCTGTATACACAGATCCGATGTTTTTTCAGCCCAATTGTATGACTGAAAATCTTGGTCTGGAAGGCTCGTATGTGTTATGAGGCTTTGACAGCCCGGAAACGTTGCCTTAGGCGTATCTTCAGAATACGGGCAGTCTGTAGGATCGTCGAGTGACTAGTTAAGGAAACTACAAATTAAAAGAAGCGCTAGCCTAAACAGCATTAATTTACACGAGTCTTACAGCCAATACCATCACAGCTTAACTGACCAATCACTTTCAACGGACCAGACTTATAACACAATCGACTGACAAACAGTATTCAATTGAATCTGAAGCCATGACTTTGGCTCACTTTGTCGAAACGTCAGTCACTAACAACAGTTCTTTTCAGAACTACCCTCACCCGGACGATCACACCATACGAACCACTGATACTCCAGGGTTCAATCCATTTCAGTCCTATCATTAAGGGTGTGATCAAGTAGGTTAAAGAAAAGAACAGCGATGGCTTGGTTGTCTGCCCACAGGGACACCTGGAAAATAAAACCAGAACATGTTACAGTATGCAAGGAGGAGAACAGTGAAGAAGAAACTTAAGGCTTCGTTACATCATTAAGATTTGTTTTCCTCGTCGCTGGGCTGAACTTACGACGTTTATTGGTGCCCTTTGCTCCAGCACTATCAGGAGCAACCTTGAATGGCAATGACTTAAGGTCAGAACTATGTGGAGTTCAAACGAAGAAAACGAAAGAGAAAGGTGAAGAAAGGAACTTTTATAACCAATTAAGGTAAGTCAACTTTTTATTTTAAATTTGTCACTTTCGAATGTGAAAGAATGACAGCTTGTGATGGGTTGAGCCTTCCCTTTATACTTTGCACGCTTTGTGTGTACTTCAACTGGGTATGGCACCGATTTGATTTGTATTGTGAAACTCTCCGTGTGCGGGTGCGGGAAAAATAATAAATTATGCATACCAGGGTGCGGAAAAATAATAAATTATGCATACTTGTAAATAAATCAGGATTTCGGGAGCCAACCTCATGCTAACAAAGTTCCTTCGTCCGGTAGTGTTCCAATATAGATTTCCTGAACATAAGACTATCTCATTCTGTGTGCAAATTATAGACCAGGCTTCTTTCAATGACCTAGAAAGGAACGCTTTAACTGATAAAAGCAGGAACAGTTCCACTTCTTTCACTTTCAACTGTTCTCTCTTCACGACAGACTCTACAAGAGATCGCTCAAGTGTCACAAATTCATCTGACGTCACAGCTTCTTCTGTGTGCTTCTCGATCACTTCCCAGCATCGATCTTCCAAATCTTTATCTTCAAATTTCTGAGCGTGTGGCAGGATGCAAAACACATTAGATGCTTTCAAATTTTCACGCAGATATTCAGTACATTTCTCAGCGAGTGACTGCACCATATATTTGTTCGCCAAGTACTGTACTTGCATCACATTACTTCCGCTCAAATTCGCTTCGTCCGTGTACATGAAACGAAACAACTCCAAAAGACTCTCGTACTCACAGTCAGGCAGTTCAATAGAGTTTTTAGTCTCTGCGATTTGACCATAGAACATGGCAAAGAACACAGGACTGCTGATTGCAAGCACAAACTTGTGAGCTGGGATCACCTTCTTACTTTCACTCCCGGGGGGGCACTGCCACATATGGGCTATATAGGTATGTGCCGCTGTGAAGGGTATGATTTTCAAGCAGTTTACTCTAGGATAGGGT